TATGCTATTTGTACACCCTGAAATGGGACTCACGGGTGTCCAAGCAGGTTGCTGTGCTAGGAGCGAGAGCTGGGATTTCTTGGGCCACAAGTAACCGGCCAAGCTCATTGATGACCCAGGATTTCAATACTGACCCAATGCAAAGTCTACCTTGGTCAATTATCTAGATATACACAAGTCATATATGGACCAAGTTATTGAGGGGTTATTAAGGTCACGTAACAGATTCTTAAACCCCTAGTTTAAATCCTTTCTGGAACAAGACAAGGGATAGACTAAATAATACAAATAACTTATTACTGTTCCCTTCAAAGTAGTTTTGCTGGGTTGCTACATACTTCATTCAACAAGACTCAGAACATATTAAAGACAACCATAATTATTTTCTGCAGACCTTGTGGTGAGTGGTTTTGAAAATGCTCAATGGGGGTGGACTTGGCCTTGAGGAATAGTTACAAGTCAGCTGAATCTAAGTCTGATAAACAGAGTTGGTGGTCAAGTTGGGTAATGCTGACTCACATCAATGACAGGGCATTCAGTTCGACGTAGAAAAGTAAGACTCCATCACTGCCCTTAAGAGGCTGTGGTCCGGATTGAGAGGAAGTCACACAAAAGACAATTTCAATACTGTTTCATAAGCAGTGTGAAAGAGTTAGGAAAGGATGTTTTGGTATTGGGAGTGATGGAAATGTTCTAAAACTGGATGATGGTGATGGGTGCAACTTTGGTAAATGTTATGAAATTACACACTTAAAACAGATGAATTTTATGATATGTAAATTATACCTCAATAAAGTTGTTTTTTGTAATTTTTTTAATGTTTATTTTTGAGAGACAGAGCAGGAGTGGGGAAGGGGCAGAGAAACATGAGACAGAAGATCCGAAGCAGGCGCTGCCCTCTCAGTGCAGAGCCTGATGTAGGGCTTGAACTCACAAACTATGAGATCATGACCTGAGCTGAAGTTCGGATGCTTAACTGACTGAGCCACCCAGGTGCCCCTAAAGTTGTTGTTGTTGTTTTTTTTTTTTTAAAGAAGGGTGTGGTGGGAGTACAGACATTCCGTTTAGTTCTAAATTCAAACTGCAGTCCTCACCACCCTTGTCAAGAGAGTAAAGGAGGGAGGAGAGGAGGTCGGAGACGTGGTTAAGGTTTAGGCCGGTCTTGCTGTGGTTCTTGGGTCTTGGGCCTGCCTTTAAGTGAGGGGAAATAACTCAAGAGCTGCATGCATTCCAACTGCATAGTCAAATTCACATTTTAGATCCACTTCAAAAAAGCAATCTGAAAGATGCCAAGGTTGGAGGCAAGGAGACCAGTAATAAGGACAATGGAACAATCCTGGAGACAAACGGTGGCGGTGGGAACCAGAATGGCAGCAATGGCATGGGAAGGAAGGCACGAGTTCACGAGCATTTGGGAAATGGTGGCAGGACTCGGTAACTGGTGGGGTGTGGGTGGTGAGGAAGAGAGGGGAGTCGGGCAGGCTTAGGTCTCTGTCGTCAGGGAGGGAACGCAGAGGAGGATGGCAGGGGGTGGAACAGGCTGGCATCCCTCTGCAACATCCAGCTGGAAATGCCCAGCAAGCAGGCGTGCACGTGATGTCGACACTTTGGGGGAAGACTCAGGATTGCAAGTCGTTAGTCTAGGAGTGGTGGTTAAAAACACAGGAGGGATGAGATGGGTCACAGGGACCATGTGAATTAGAAGAAAACTGGGCTGATGGAAACCTGGGGGAATTAACATTTGAGGGGCAGAGAGAAGACTGTGACAGGAACAGAAGGAAAATCAGAAGAGTGTGATGTCAGAAAGGCAAAGGAGTAATGTTTTGAGAAGAAAAGAGTAATAGTGTCAAATGTAGATAAAGCTTTAGAAAACAAAGCCTAAAAAGGTGTCTGCTGGATTTGGCTACTGACCTTAGTGAGAGAACAGTTTCAGGGGAGGGGAGGTGACAGCCAGGCCACAATGGGTTAGGAATGAATGGGGAGCCAGGGAGGGGAGGGGGGAGGTGATAGAAATGTAGCTGTCTGGGGACATCTTGGGCTGTGGCCAGAGAAGGACACAGGGTCCTCAGGCAGCTTTGTTCTTTTGTTCTGAGGACAGGAGGGACTTGAACGTGTTTGTAGGCTGAGCCAATTAGAGGAAGGAAATGTCCATGATACAGATGAGAAGTGCCTGGATGGAGAGGGGCTGGGCACAGCGGGGTGTGGACCAAGAACTCGGGCCAGGCACTGGCAGGGAGAGTGTCACTTCACCCTCGGGACTTGAGGGGCTGGATGGATGCGTAGCCTGGAATGGAAGGGGAGGAGTGCCGTGGCTTCCCACCTGATGGCCTTGCTTTGTTTCCTGTGTGTGTAAAACAGGAAGGGAAGTTCTTTGTTGAAAGTGTGGGGATGGGAGGTCCAAAAAAAAAAAAAAAAAAAAAAAAAAAAAAAAAAGGAGAAAAGTTTAAAATGGACGATAACAGAGGAAGCTGATGGACAAGTAAACATGTTGATGTGAGTCAACCTTCACTCCTTTCTCTCCCCCACTCCGCCTCTCCATCTATCAGCAAGATGTCTCTTCTGCTTCTGTTTCCTGGGTTGGGCCACATCTCACCGCCTCCACTCCTACCCTCTGGGTCCAAGCCGCCATAATTTCTCTCCTAAATTTCTACCAGGGTTTCCTTACTAAGTTTTTCTGCTGCTTCCCTAGCCCCTTTTGGTCCTTTCCCCACACAGCAGCCAGAGTGATCTGTAAAAGCTGTAAATCAGGGGCGCCTGGGTGGCTCAGTCAGCTAAGCATCTGACTTCTGTTCAGGTCATCATCTCATGGTTTCTGAGTTTGAGGCCCACATCAGGCTCTGCGCTCTGAGCACAGAGCCTGCTTTGGATCCTCTCTCTCTCTCCCTCTCTCTGCCCTTCCCTAGCTCATGCACTCTCTCTCTCAAAAATAAATAAATAAATACCACCACCACCCCCCACCTCCCCGTAAATCAGATCATACCACTCCATTGCTTAAAATCATCCAATAATTCTCAGTGAGATAAGTATAAACTCCTAACACCAAGCTTTGTCCTGAGAGATTCAGGCATCATCTGGCCCTTTTTACCTCTCCTACCTTGTCATGTGCCACATTCTCCCTTGGTCAAGGTGTTTCAGCTACTCTGGCCTTCTTTTGTTTCTTCCAGGGCTCCAAGTTAGTTCCTGCCTCAGAGCCTTTGCACTTGCCTTCCTGCTACTCAGGATGCTCTGGCTGACTCTTTCCCATCTTTTACCTCCATGGCCAAATGTTACCACCCAAAACTTCTGTTTATTTGCTTCCTTATATATATCAGTAATTGAAACTATCTTACATATTTATTTCCTTGTGTGTAGTGTTTGTTTCAATCCCAGAATAAGAACTCTGGGAGAGAGGGGACTTCATTTAGGACATAGTAGGTACTTAAGAAGTATTGTTAAAGGACAGTGTTGAAGGCTCAATGAGATTAGAAAAATACGACTATGGTGACTTTAAGCCACACATTTGTGTGATTTTCTTAAGCACAGACCATCAAATAATGATGGATTTTCTTACATGCCTATTCTGGAGACAATTTCAAACACGTATTTCCAAAGGAGGGTCAGGTGGCAGAGGCATCCTGGTGAAAAGTAGATGGATTCCCAGTGTGACCAGTTCAGATATTTATGTTCTTATTCATTGTGCAGAAATTCCGTCAATTTTACAGTCTTGTATGTGGGTTGGCAAGTTGTGGGAGGAAATTGCTGACTTTGTTTCCAATCCCAAAGCTAAGCTGTGTTATACAGGTGAAATCAGGTTACTAAGATAGGTCTGGTTTCCTTGGTGACCCAGGAGGTTTGGTTATATTTGACATTGCTAAGAAGGAGAAAAATCTGATAACGACAGTTTTGTGTTTTCCTAAGGGAAGGAGCACTTTTCAATCCTCGGCTGAGGCTGAGGACATGCCTCCTTGATTGGCGAGGGTTGACCTCTGGCCATCCGGCTGAGCGACACTTTCTAACTGCTCCCAGAATCCCACACCCAGTCTGGCAAGCTTGTCCTATGCCAGCTCTGGGTAATTACATCATGACTCCTCAGGCTCCCTGTCTGGTTTGTTTTTGCATGTAAACACTGTAACTAGGGTGACGAATAGTTAGCTTGTTGGAGAATGTGCTAACACCTTTTTTCTGGTGGGATGACAGTGGAAGGCCATATTATTTTATAAATGGTGCGTCGATCCAGTTAACTCTTTAATGGTTTTTTTCTTGATAGCTGTTTTATCAAATGTCATTTGTTTATCAAAGGTTTGTGAGCCAAGCTCTGTGCTAAATACTTTTTCAGTATTATTTTATTTTCATGACAATATTATGAAGTAGGTACTATTTTTTTTTTAATTTTTTGAGTTTATTTATTTATTTGGAGAGAGACAGGGACAGTGTGAGCAGGGGAGGGGCAGAGATAGAGGGAGAGAGAGAATCCCAAGCAGGCTCTGCACCAACGATGTAGAGCCTGACATGGGGCTCGAACTCACGAAATTGTGAGATCGTGTCCTGAGCCGAAACCTGAGAGTCAGACGCTTAACCGACCGAGCTACCCAGGCACCCTGAAGTAGGTACTATTATTAGCCCCATTTAAGTTAATGTTTATTTAGTTTTGAGAGAGAGACAGAGCATGAGCAGGGGAGGGGCAGAGAGAGAGGGAGACACAGAATCCGAAGCAGGCTCCGGGCTCTGAGCCGTCAGCACAGAGCCTGCCGCGGGACTCGAACTCACGGACTGCCAGATCATGACCTGAGCCGAAGTCGGACGCCCAAAGGACTGAGCCCCCTGGGCGCCCCATTAACTCCATTTTAAAGATGAGGAAGCACAGAGAGGTTCAGTGGCTTTCCATGGTCACACATCTAGGACGTGATGGGTTTTGGATTTTACGAAACGATTACTGCTGATCAAACACTGATACTGCACCCTGAATTCTCTCATAAAGCTGTAGGCGGAGGGGGAGGATAGTTCTAGTTTTCTACACTTACCTGATATTCAGAGTCCGCTTTGTGCTGCATGTCCCGCAGATACTGAACATCACTCACGAACTTCTGCCTGTCCCTTGCTTCGTGCAACATGATCCTTAATCCCCAACCTGCATATACAAGATAAATGAATGCGCTGTGGCACAATTCTTTGTTGCTTTGCCATATTTGGATTTATCGTAGTATAACTGCTTTTATTCTCTTACAAATCCAATTTCCATTGTTTGAAAGCCACAGATGCCCCTTTCAGCCTGCAAAGACTCTTTGTATTGGTGTTGATGCCCTTACAGCCCTCCTATTCCCGGCATAAATAATGCAGCCACGTTCATCAGCTGGCTTCAGTGATCCTGTCCTGGTTATGCAGAGAGGGTTAGATAGACAGACACCTGCTTCAGGAGAAGTTTTACAACTTGACAAAAAAAAAAAAAAAAAAAAAAAAA